ATTTAACATTAGACCACCCATATTTTTAAATATTTCGACCATAATCTTTGTTATAAAATCCAAGTACAAATGTTGGATTTGGCAAATGTTGATCGCTTGTTAAACAAAGCTCACACTGTCTGCTTCATGCATCTTTCATGAGGGTCTTCTTTTTCTCTGTGAACACTTAATGCGTGTTTCATAATCCTTATCTTTTGCAGGCCATTAGGATCTGAAAATCTGCTTCTTAGAGGAGCTACTTTAAAGAACACAGAAAAAATCTTTGGTAAATATTTTAATAGATGCTTAAAATAGATTTTCAATGAAGAAATAAGCATTGAATCAAGTTTGAATTCACAATTAAATTAATCAGGCCATACATTTTCTATTTCAATACTTGAATGGTTTCTGTACGAGGAATATAAATGCTGTATGTTGCCATCATTACAGTAAGATAACTAAGACTACTACAATTGTTGTGCAGTGAATAAGGCTATATTTTTCTTTAAACATTATACTAAGTTAGTTTTTATGTAAGAATCTCCAAACACTAGTCATGAAAGCCAAACTTGAAAGAAAATGTATACTAAATTTTGTAAGTAAATGTATGGCTCTAATCTATAGAGTACTTGCTTGTATAAAACATAATAAGCAATAGTATTCCCCAAAACCATATCTATTAATACTCAGTTGGCCTGTTTAGAAACGTAAAGTCTCTTTTGCAGAATTGGTAGTGCAGGCAGATTGTTACCCTAGCTAGATATATGTTCAGCTGATCAAAAAAAATGCTCTTCTGTGAGTCTTGCGAGTCTTGTGAGTTCCATACAGTTCAATGCCTTTATGTCTCTATTCTTCTTTGGGCTCCCTGGCTAAATTATATTTCCCATAATGAACTATGTTCTTTCTTCAAAAAGGGAGGTTGAGAAATCTTTTCAGACTAGAAATGAGTCTTGCAACTTTGTGTCATTTGAATGCCAATACTGCAAATAAAATTACTTGATATAAACTGACTTCAAGTAGAGTTTGCTTGGAAATATTACAAATTATTGTTATTAAGCTATTCTATAAGAATTTTTACTTAACATTTAACTTCACAGAACCAATTTAAAATCTCAATGAAAATATTGCCAGTACACGTTTTTTGTAGGCCTTTGTCCTAACTAACATACGCAGTGTTTGGTATTATCTCAGCAGAGTACCCATCTGGGAGCATCTTATTTCAGCTGCAGACAGCAGAGGTGATTAAATAAGCACTTTGAATGCATCTTTTTGTTTAAAAGTGATTCTACTGTTGTATTTAATCACTGTATTTTTAAGTCTATCAAGGCGTGTTATTAATGAGGCTGGGCAAAACCAGAAACAAATCGTTCCTTTTTTTTTAATGAATGTTTGTTTTGTTGATGCTAGGTCCTATGCAGCTTACTGCGTCTTATATTGAAAGAGTCAGTCTCTAGTAAAATGTTTTTGTTTTTATTTTTATTTTAGGTGTTGCTATATACACTGGCATGGAAACTAAGATGGCATTAAATTACCAGGCAAAATCACAGAAACGATCTGCTGTAGAAAAGTAAAGTTTTCCTTGCCTTTTTTTAATCTTTCATTTGGTGGGGGTGGGGGTTGAGGAGAGCATACCTTTTAATTAGAAAAGGCATACTCATTTTACATATATGGTATTATTATTTCTAATCTAGCATTAAGATTAATATGGCATTAAGTTTATCTTAATAGCATACATATAAATATTATTTTGTATATTGACATGTGTGTTAATTACGTTTTAAACAGACATTCTTTATTGTTCTAGAATAGCAAAGTAGTAACTGTCACTGTTTAGTGCAGATCAACTGCCAGAATTTCCAGACTCTCCCATGTTTCAGTATCTTTACATTCCCACTTTTTAGCAAGTAAATATTGATTACAATAGGCTAAACTCCATTGAAGCACTTCAGCTTGGGATAACAAGAACAATAAGATAGGATAAATCTGCAGCAACCCTGTGCACTACCAGTCTTTCTCAAGCTTTCCACATTTTAGGTTAAATTAATAGTTCTTCACAGGCAGACTTCCATTAATGGAAAGGGAGCCCACTGCTTTGCTTCCTTAACACATTGCTGTTTATGTAGTAGTTATTAGGCTGATGTTAGTTGTCTGTTACCAAAGCATAATGGTTATTTTATACTCTTATTGTATTACTGCTAGTGCATACTCAAGTAACTGACTTAAGCAGGAACTGTGATGCCACTGATTTAAAACCTATCAGGGTGACCAGCTTGCCTTTTCCATGCATTACAGCTGAAAAACAGGGAACAATTCTTCTGGGTTTTCAAAGTGCCTGTTGAGTCATTTTGTTTATACATATCACAGATCAGAATAACACACATTTTATTTTGATATACTTTACTTTGTTGTGTTTTTTCCCCCAGTCCTTGTCTACATAAGGATATTTTTTACCAGAATATTTACATTATTGTTATAGCTATATGGCAAAATCCCCAAGTGTGGATGTATTTATAGCAGTCAGTATAAAAGTGTTTATAGCAGTATAATTTATGTCATTTCAAGGAACTGGCAGGATAATCTCTAATGCTATATATACTAGGGCTATACAAAGTTTCGGTAGCTGATTCGATTTGGAGGAGATCCTGCCTGATTCAAGGACCAAATCTCCAAATCCTAATCAAATCGGGAGAACAATTAAAAGCTCCAAATCGATTTGAAGCATCTGAATTGATTTGGAAAAGCTTGAGAAAAGATTAATCCACTTTAGAGATTCGGCCATAAACTAAACAGGCAGCTGACACAGCTGGCTCCAGCTGGTAAATCTGTTGGGGTTGGGGGAGGGGGGAAGGAAGGAGCATGGGGGAGGGAGGGATTGGGGCTGGGCCTAGGCCTGGGACTAGGACAGGCTGCCCAGCTGGGGCAGGGGGTGCATTACTTGGTGGGGGGCAGGGTGTGGGATGTGGGCGTCGCAGTGTTGGGAGCGGGGGCTCTGCCCTGCTGCTGCTTGCCCAGCCAGCGCGGAGTGGGGATGGCTCACTCCAGGCAGAAGGGGGCAAGTGGCAGCAGGGCGTAGCCCCCGCTTCCAGCATTGCCGTGCCTGTATAGTGCGCCCCCACACACTGGCTGGCAAGTGGCGGCAGGGCAGAGCCCTCCCTCCCAGTGCTGATGCAGGTGGGGTAGCACTGGGAGTGGGGGCTATGCCCTGCTGCTGCCTGGAACAAGCCGTGCCTGCATCACAGCCCCTCCCCCACCCCTGCACTGGCTGGGCCAGATGGGGGATGGGGCCAGGCAGGGCAGCCATAGGGGCTTCTCCCACGGCTCACCCCACCAGGGCAGAGGCAGGCACAGCTAGAGGAGCCACAAGAGAAGCCCCCATGGCTGGCCTGCCTGGCCCCAGCCTCCTGGCAGTTAACAAACCCCCCCACCCTTGAATTCACTGGCTCTAGCAGCAGTGATCAGGGCCTCTGGGGGCCCCCCCACACAGCCCCCGCTCCCCAATTGCCCCCTGCCTGGCCTCAGGAGTCTGGGAATCAAAAAAAAAACAAAAAAAAAGCTCTGCTGTAGCAGGAACTGGGGGCTCTGGGACCACATGGTAGAAACCCCTGCACAGCCCCTGTTTCCCGATCTTCCCCCAGCCCAGCCCTGATGCCCCCCACCCAGCCCCAGCATCCCAGCACTTAAAAAAAA